GGGAGAGAGCCGCCATCCGATGGAGCGGCTCATGGGAAAGTGCTGGCCGAGGCTGGGATTGTGGGGATGGGGAAGAATAAGGCATCGCATGCGGACCTGGAGGACGTGGTTGTGGCCCTGATGCTCTGATCAATTTGGTCACCTCCTCTCTGCTGCCCGATCAGCTCCACCATTGCCCTGGAAGGAGTTTTGATTCTCTGCCCCTGTGTCACAATGAACGCGTGGCACGTCCCAAACTGGGTGGGTGACACGGCGATCCCTGGCTGCCCACGCCAGGGGCCTGGGGTGGGAGACGTGAGGCACATTGGTCACCAGATTGAGGTGTCATGGAGGCTTGGCCTCAAACGGTAGAGAGCATCTTCATGGCTCCCTGCTCTCTCTTACAGGAGAAGTGGTGAACACCCATGGTCCCGTTGAGCCGGACAAAGACAATATCCGTCAGGAGCCATACACCTTGCCCCAGAGCTTCACCTGGGATGCCCTGGACCTTGGGGACAGAGGTGTGGTGAGTACAGGCAGCTCAGCACGTGTGTGTTGGGAGGGCGTCTCTGTTGCATGGCTGACAGTTCCATGCTTGGACTGCTGAAGATGGTTTTGGGGACGGCAGCCTGTCCTTCGCCACACCAGGCAGCTCTCCAGCTTGGTGGTCACGCCATCTCCTTGGAGTTAGATGGGTCTGACTTCCCCCACCATGCAGTTACCTCTCACCCGTCCTGTGTGGGCCAGGTTGGCCTGGTTTCTTCATGGGGATGTAAGGATGCCTGAAGCCAGGAGTTTTCCCTTAGGAAGACCCTCCAGACTGTCACCCACCTCCTTGGGAGATGACCTGAGGGCAGCAGGACTTATCTGTGTGTCCTGCTGCTTACCCCGCTCTGCAGCGGCACCGGTTCAGGAGCCCGGAGCAGGGGGATGTGCCGGTAGCAGGGACACGGCTGCGTGTGGCACCCATTGCTGTGGCCACACAAAACATATTCAGGGTCCCGTCTCAGGGCAGCTGGGGCATGTGGTGGCTGAAGATCTTTCTTAACCTGCTTGGTCTCTCCTGCTTTAGCTGAAAGAGCTGTACACACTTCTGAACGAGAACTACGTGGAGGACGACGACAACATGTTCCGGTTCGATTACTCTCCTGAGTTCCTGCTGTGGTGAGTGGCATCCTGACCACGGATCAGACGGTGTTGGATGCTGGCAAGCCTGATCCCGGTGACAGCGCTGCAGCTGCCTTTACTTATCCCGTCTCACTTCTTTCCAAAATCTCCCTTCCCCATCTGTCACCCTGCGCGTGTGCGGTGTCCCAGGTACACTGTGAGAGGGCTCTCTCTCGCCCCGCCCTGCCTGCCTCTGGCTTCTTTGAGATACGGGAGCCTAAAACCGGATTTTTTTCCTCTTTGGTTTGATCCCTGGAGTGTTTGTGAAAATCCCAGTAGCTGAGGAGCTTCCCAGTGCCCTGGAGCTGTAGGATGAAGGTGGCTGCCAAGTAATGTTGCCAGCAATAACACTTGAAGACCTGTTGCAGCGGAGCTGCTGTTTCCTCAGGGCATTCATGAGTGGAGGAACATGGATTTCCTCCTGTGTCACTAGTGAGAACTGGCCTTGGCCACGGAGTGCAGGAATTGCCCCGGGTCCCGGCAGTCCTGCCTTGTCACATCACTGTCACCCTCTCATCCTCCTGCTTGCAAACCCACAGCTGCATTGGGCAGCCTGGAGCAGGACACGGGGCATCCCAGGACAGGGTGGGGAGGCAGGAGCAGGTACGTCGGGGACCTTTGATGGGACGTGACTTCTGAAGTGTGTCTCTTCTCCAGGGCACTGCGTCCTCCGGGCTGGTTGCCCCAGTGGCACTGTGGAGTCAGAGTTGTCTCCAGCAAGAAGCTGGTTGGATTTATCAGCGCAATTCCAGCCACTATCCACATCTATGACACGTGAGTTCTGCTCGGCTGCATTTCTCATCCTGCCCCTTGTTGGCATGTGGGGCTTCCTGGGCATGCTGAGGAGGTCTGGCTATGTCGTCCTCCCCAACCAACCAAGCCAGACCTACGCCGTTCAGCTGTGGAGGTGCTTTGCTGCTTGGAGGAGAAGGTGGGGGATGTTTAAGGTGGGCAGTGAAGTTCTGTGCAAGGACATCTTGCAGTTAGCGGCCGTGAAGGCTGTTTTCCTCAATGAGTGAGGCCAACTTAGAGCTCTGGCTTACAGAAATCCTCCAGGGCTGGATGGAGACCATCTTCCCTGGGAAAACCTTAGCTAACAGCTTAAGGGAGAGTTCTCCAAACCCAGCCCTTGCCCCTTGGCCTTCCCCAAGGCTTTGACTCCTCTTTCTTTTGAAGGGGCTGGAGGTAAATTGCCTGGGGCGTTGGACTGATCCTCCCAGGTCAGGACAGTCGGGTCTCATGCTCTGCATTGTTTCTTTCCCAAGAGAGAAGAAGATGGTAGAGATAAACTTCCTGTGCGTCCACAAAAAGTTGCGCTCGAAACGGGTGGCTCCAGTTCTGATCCGCGAGATCACGCGGCGGGTTCATCTGGAGGGGATCTTTCAGGCTGTTTACACTGCAGGAGTGGTGCTGCCAAAGCCTGTGGGGACTTGCAGGTGAGTGTCTATGGTTCAAAGAGATTTTGGTCTGCAGACCTTCCCCTGCCAGGATCCCCTCTGTGGCGTGTAGCGTGTGGGGGATTCCTCAGGACAGGAGAGAGCATTCCAGCCCAGGTTTCTCCTCCCCATACCGTCCTTCCAGGATTAAGTCCAGTAGCTTTGCTTAAGCTGCTCATGTATCACAAGACGGGAGACTTTCTGAGCACAAGCGCTTCAGGCCGCCCTTGTTTTTCTCTGCGGGAGCTGCTGGCCTCTTCGGGAGCCGGTGTGATGTTCTCGCTTGCCCTCTCATGGCAGCTATGAGAACCTCGTGCCCCTGCAGCCGCCCTGCTGCCCAAGAACAAGTCTCCCACCGCGAGTGTGTTTCTGCAGGTACTGGCACCGGTCTCTGAATCCTCGGAAACTCATCGAGGTCAAATTTTCCCACCTGAGCAGGAACATGACTATGCAACGTACCATGAAGCTTTACCGGTTGCCCGAGGTGGGTGCCAGCCGGGGCTGTGAGCTGCGGAGGCAGAGCTCACAAATTGCTCCTCGCTGAGCAAGGGGTGAGGCTGGGAACTGGAGACACAAACGTCTTGGCTGAGGTCGTGTCCTCTGCCTGGAGAACTGGGGTTTGTTTCATGTGGTAAATGACTCTGTCAAGCCATTGCGCTTTATTTAATCTTTATTTATTTTTGCCTGGGTACCTGCATTTTAAGGGCAAATTCTTGCAGCTAGAGGACCCCATGAGCTTTTGTTTCATGGTGAGTCATATCTTGTCCTCCTGGTAAAACGAGAACGCAGATATGACAGCCTTCATCTGTCCAAACACAGCCTCAGAGTGACCTTGAATTGGGTCAGTCCCTCATTCTTCCGTCAAACTGATCGGTTCTGTCACTGCAGTTGTCCTGCTGGGGAAGTTCCCCAGCTGGTTATGGGAGAAAAGACAAACAAAGCATTAAAATTGCCACCACCTTCCCCGACCTTGTTGGCTTCCTTCTGTTGGTCAGAGCTGCTCGTTTTGGTTGGAGAGCGCTGCTTCAGTGCTGGGCTCCTGTCTCCTGCCTCCCGCCTCAGCAACGGCACCAGCTGCTGTTTTGTAGCTACCGATTTTTGCGCAGAAACCCAGACCCAGAAGCAGTCCGTGCTGCTTGATGTGGGCTTTGCTGAGCAATGCCAACTCTAGATTAGAAATCGAGTCCAACTGGAAATAACATCAGGTGGTTCCTTGCGGTGCCTGGGGCACGTCTCCCAGCCCGTCCCTGCTGCGAGCAGGAGCAGAGAACTGGAGGGAAGCAGAGATTCTGTGTCGTTAGTGGTTAGGAGGCCACTTCCAGCGGGACTTGACCTGGCACGTGGGGCTTTGGGACCCGCTGTGCTTCTCTGCGATCTTTGCCATCGGTGTCACGGCCGATCGCATCCATCCTTCTGCCAGGCAAGCAGGGCTGGGGGGAGAGTGCTGGGTTGTGGGACTGAAAATGGGCTGATCTAAGCAGAGAGCATCTCTGTGCTGCTTGTCGGAGAGCCCTTGGGTGATAAAAGCCACTGTGCAAGCAACGCAAACGATTTGTCCTGCTTTCTGTAGACTCCCAAGACTCCCGGCTTGCGGCCAATGGAGCACAGAGATATCTCCGCAGTGCACAAACTCTTGACTGAGTACCTGAAGCAGTTCCACCTGACGCCCGTCATGAGCCGAGAGGAGGTGGAGCACTGGTTCTTACCTCAGGAGAACATCATCGACACCTTTGTGGTAGAGGTGAGGGGACAGGAGCAAGACGGGGGGGTGTTTTCCTGGGCTTCTGCCTCCACTGGGAGTGTGCAGCGAGCTGTGGGAGCGATCAGGGAGGTTGCTGCCCTGGGCAGTGAGATGCTCTTCCAGGGTGGAAGGTTTGAGCTGCTGGAGGATGGTGCCTCTCCATCCCGGGCTGCCCCAAGTCTCCTCGCAGGGAGCCCACACGTCACTCAGACTGGCAAAGCCCCTCTGAGGCTCCGGCCAGGCTTTGTCCTGGCTCTGACGTGTTGTGGTGTCACTTCTGGCTTCCAGAGCGCCCCAGGGGAGGTGACAGACTTCCTGAGCTTCTACACGCTGCCCTCCACCATCATGAACCACCCGACTCACAAGAGCCTGAAAGCTGCTTACTCCTTCTACAACGTTCACACCAAGACGCCTCTCATCGACCTCATGAGCGATGCTCTCATACTCGCCAAGTCGGTGAGTGATGACAGGGCTGGGGCGGCACTGCTGGGCACCAGGCAGCTCACCGGGCACCAGGCAGCTCACCGGGCAGCTCACCGTTCGCCTGGCCACCCTTGGATTTATGGGGAGGGCCGGTCACGGGGCAGGGCTTGTACCCAAATCCTAAAGGATCCCAGGAGAGGGATGCAGGGGTAGCCTGAACCCTCGGGGCAGCATTGAGCTGAGCTCAGGGTGTCTACTTGTTTCTTATAGCAAACTGTATCGCTGTACGTCTGTAGCGCTTGGGCTGAGGGTGGGTACACCGATGCTAAGTTCTCTTCCATCAGCCTCGCTCCCTTCGTCTGGGGGTGCAAAGCTGGGCAGGAGAGGGGGCAGGCAGCTCGCGGATGGGATGAACTTCCCAGCATGTGAGCAGGAGGAGCTGACGGCTTCGTGTCTTGCCCGTGCAGAAAGGATTCGACGTCTTCAATGCACTGGATCTCATGGAAAACAAAACCTTCCTGGAGAAGCTGAAGTTTGGGATTGGGGATGGGAACCTGCAGTATTACCTGTACAATTGGAAGTGTCCCAGCATGGCACCAGAGAAGGTCAGTGCCTGGGGGCGGTGGGGTCCTCCAGCGCACGGGAAGGGGTCTTGGCCCCGCAGCCCCCAGGGAGATGAGTTTGCCGTCGCACGCGCCTCGGCGTTCCTGGGCCGGCAGTACACACAGTGACGGGTGGATCCAGTGACGGCTCCTCTGTGCTGTCCCCTCTGTGCCTGCGCAGGGGGTGTCCCTGGGGAAAAGCGCCCACCGCTTGTCTCCGCAGGCTCGTTTTACTCTTGGACTAGTGCAGGTTCAGAGTCCTTACCCTCACGCACGGCCGCACGACCGACTTCTTCCCTCTGTGGAAGGAGGCCAGGTACAGAGAAGAGACAGGCAGAGGTTCTGCAGGGTGACAGATGTGACACCGGTGGTTGACAGTCACTTGTCCATACCTGGGAGGTGGTTGCTGTGCTCTGTGAGCCCGCACAGGACCCGGGTGTCACCGTGCGGCCCTGTAGCCTGTGTGTTGGGCTGTTGTGGGGGGACGAGACGAACAACAACCCCTCTAGAGCTTGAGAGCCATTGGGTCGCTGCTGAGCAGGACCCCGTGACGATGGGGAGCTCTGCCAGCACGGTCACTCGTAGCATGTGCGGAGCGGCTGAGCCACGGGATCACTGGGGTGTCACCTTGTCCCCACGGCCAGCAGCTCGCTCCCCACCCAGCTTCTCCAAACGCTGCAGCTGTAGACACCCTGTCTGCCTGCCCTGGGCCATTTTTTGGCAGCACCTGGTTGCTACCACATCTCCATCCCAACGATGTGGTTCAGCATCTGTCCGGTCCGCAGCCGCCTTGGAGAGGACGGTGCTTGAGAACCAGCAGCCGCCTGACTGCGCAGTGCTGCAGCCTGCCCGTGCTACGTCGCACAGCTAATTAATGCCTTAACGGCAGTAACGGGGCTTTGGTTCCCTTCGCAGAGCGCGTGAAGCCAGGTCTCTGTAGGTACAAGCCCACGCGCCTTAAACCGGCCTTGCTGTGCCACTGAGCATTTCAAAAAGCTCCAGGAGGTTGCCGGGAGGTTTGAGCAATCCCATCTCTTGCTAGGAGAGCTGGTGGGTTGGAGAGCCTGGTGCTGGGAGCCGCTCTCGGGCCGTACCCCACGGTGGGGGTGCCCGTGGCTCCAGCGGGCCGAGCCTGGGACCAGCCACCAGCATGTTCCATCACACCCAGCAGTGCCGGCTGCCTGCAGAGGGGCCTGTCCCGGTACCAGGCTCTCAGGAAGCAGCTTCTCCCAAATCTGTTGTTATTTACCTTAGAAGCAACCTTGGCTCGTAAATCAAGGCTGTCTTGCAGACTGCCCAGGCTTGTCACACCCCAAACATTGGTCACCTCCCCACATCAGAGCTGGGCAGGGTCCGTGCGCCCGTTTGGCCGCACGCCCAGGGCTCTCCCTGCTCTCGAGTCTCCCAAAGCCGATGGGGAAACCCGCACGGACGGCACTGAGCCCTCCCGGCCGGCACGGCAAGGGCTTGCAAGCTGCGTCCACCTGCAGCCGCGTCTGGGGCAGAGGATGCTGGCGGTTGGGCCCATCTTGACCTGCCTTCTCCGTTGGCTCCCCCAGGTCGGACTGGTGTTGCAGTAAACGAGCCCTTGCCAGGAGAACGCGGCGCCACCGAGGAGCTGGGCCCGGTGGAGGTGCTGCCCTCATCCTTTCTGCCGAAGCCGGACCTGTGCCGGGAGAGATGGAACCGAACCAGCCGCGTAGCCGCCCATCGCCTGGGTTCACCGACCGCGTCCCGCAGCGCCGGCCGCCGCTCCCCCGCTGGCGTCAGCGGTCTCCTTTGTTTTGATTTAATTGCATCCTCGTAAAGACGTGATCAAGGGAATGTAACTGCTGAAACTAGCTCATGATTGGCATATAATGGAGTTAACGGGTGAATAATAAAAGTATATATTATATATATTTTAAATCTTTCCTGTTCCAAACTGACATGAGTTGCATTCGTCTGCTGAAGGCCACCTCTGGGTCGCTGGACCGTGACTTTTCTCAACCGGGCCAACCAAGGTAGATGCTTGCTGCGCTGAGCAGCTCGGCGCCGGCGTGGTGGAGCACCGGGACGCGGTGGCCGGGCTGCCGAGCCCTCCTGCCTGCCTGGAGGGTGTTTTGGGCTCCATCCCCTGCTCAGCTGGTTTCCCCCGCTTTGCTCCCTCCTCCGTTAAACTCGGTCCTTCCCGCGGGTGCCTGGAGAGGGAGAATGGCACCGTCCCTCCCCACGGGCTCGGGAGCACGTCGAAATTTCTTTCTAAGGGCTATTTGTGCAAGCGATGCCTTGTCCCTTCTCCTCCCCAGCCTTGGAGACTCGAACCCTCTCTGCTCAACAGGGCAAGCGCTGAACCGAGGAGCAGCAACGCCCGAAGATACGGGGGGACTCGGCTCCTCGCTGCCTCCGGAGCGCGTCCGGCGCACCCCGCTCTGCTCGGACTCCTGGGGCTTGTTCCCCTCTGCCACCCCCTGTGATGCCAGGGCTGCGGGCATCGGAGGGATGCTCCATCGCCGCTGCTGCTCCTCGGGGCTCTGTGCTCGGCTGCTTTTCTCTGGAAGCGTGAAAATACGGATACACACGCAAGTGGCTGCTCTGCGACACATCATCGGCATTGCCGTGGGGCTTCAGCCTCTCCAGCCACCCCGGTGCCTCTTCCACCAGGCTCGTTGTCTTGTGCTATGGGAACCTCCGAGGTAAAGGAAATGTTTTCTTACATGGAAAACCTTTATCCCATCAAGATATCTTGGGAAACAAGCGCCCGGGCAGCCTGCCACCTCCCGCTGGGACATGAGCCGTGTCCATGAAGAGCTCTGAGATGCTCCTGCCCTCCCAGCCAAAGGTTTCCAAAGCTGCACGCCAAGGCCAAGACCCCATCTATGCACTCCCACGCCTCCCTGGCCCTCTGTGCCCCCGGCGTGCCCCGTGGCACGCCACGGACCCCGAGGGGCTTTGCCCACCCTGGCCTGGACCTGCAGGGCCTCGGTGGGGGACCAGGAGCTCATCATGTCCCTCCCCGGCAGCGCCATCACATCCCCCCTGCTCGGGGTCCTGTGTCACCTATGCAAGTACCTCTGTGTCCCCTCCTGTGTCCCCGGTGTCCTGGGCTGGGGGAGGCTGGCTGTGGGTGGGGGGTGTCTGGCGGGACCCTCCCCGTCCCCGTGGCAGTTCTGAGGGCTGCTCCAACAACCCCCCCCCGGCCCCCATGGGTGCAGCACGGCTGCTTGGCAGCTCCCCGGGGCAGTGCTGCGTTTGGGGAGGGGGCTTCAGCCCTTATCCCCCCGGCGTCTCCCCCCTGCCCACCCAGCGGGCCCCGGGAGGTGACAGGGATACCGGGACAGGTTCTGTTAAAATAAAACCTTTATTTGACTGGCTTGACACCAGGGTATGAATCTGCGACCGGTGCTGGAGCAGGGGTCGGGAACGTGGCTGGCAGCCAAGCGAAGCCTTGACGCCGTGGGCGCGATGCGGCACGTGGTGGCAGGGTCCCTCGGGGACGGCACGGTGGCAGGGTCCCCTTGGGGACCCCATGGTGATGGCGCTGTCCCTGCAGCCCAAGGCGGGGCTGGGATTGAGCGTGGCTGGTGATGGTGAAGCTCAGGGGTTGCTGTCACCCATCCCGGGGCTGTGCTGGGCATTCGATGGCCTGGCCACCCCATCCTGGTTGTCACAGTGTCCCTGTCCCCTCGCGGTCCCAGCCAGGGAGGGGAGGAGTGGGGCACGCGGGCCAGCAGATGGGGTGGCACTACGGGACATGGCGGGGGTCCCCTACACCCTTGGGTCCCCCAACCAGCCCTGCTGTCACCGTGGCCAGGCGAGCAGTGTCCCCAGGCTGTCCCCACACAGGGAGCGGGGTGTCTCTGGCACAGGAGCCCACCCCATGGAGGACCATGTTGTCCCCCCCACGGGGACACGATGTCCCTGCTGCCGGGACGGCGGGGACCTCACAGGCTCTTGCATCGAACGTGCACGAAGAGCGTGGCGGGGGACAGGGACGCCCCGTCCTTGGAGAGCAGATGGATGTGACGATACCCTGGGGACACAGATGGCGGCTGAGCGGGTGGCGGGGCACCGTCCCCGTCCCTGGGGGCAGTGCGGGGGGCACCCACCCACCTTCCCTCATGCTGGCCAGGGGCAGGGTGAACTGCCCCACGAAGTCATTGCAGGAGGTGCTGTCGTAATCCTCCACCACGAAGCGCACCAGGGCCAGCTCGGGCGCCCGCAGCTGGAAGCTCAGCGTCTCCTCCCAGCGCGGGTTGAAGCCTACGGCACCAAGACAGGGGGTGGGCACTGCCACCGCAGCCACCGCGGCCACCCGCCACCCCGGATGCAGGGACCGGCTTGACCCACCAGCGTGCTCGCCCCTGCCCCCGCTTAGCTGCCATCCTGCACTGGGGTATGTGGGGATGGGGGCAGACTTGGGGAGTGGGAGTGATACTGGGGCCAGGCTGGGCTATATTGGGGGAATGGGGGTCATACTGGGGCCGTGATGGGGTATACTGGGGAAACAGGGATCGTAGTGGGGCTGTGACAAGCTATACTGGGGAAACAGGGATCATACTGGGGCTGGGCTGGGCTATACTGGGGGAACGGGGGTCATACTGTGTCCGGGCTGGGGTATACTGGTTGAATGGGGGTCATACTGAGGCCATAATGGGGTATACTGGGGGAACAGGGGTCATACTGGGGCCGTGGTGGGCTATACTGGGAGAATGGAGGTCATACTGTTGCTGGGCTGGGCTATACTGGGGGAATGGGGGTGATATTGGGGCCTGACTGGATTATACTAGGGGAATGGAGGTCATACTGGGGTCAGGCTGGGCTATACTGGGGGGATGGGGGTGACAATGGGACTGGGCTGGGCTATGCTGGGGGAATGGGGGTCATACTGGGACTGTGATGGGGTATACTGGGGAATGGGGGTCATATTGGGACCGTGATGGGCTATACTGGGGCAACAGGGATCATACTGGGGCTGGGCTGGGCTATACTCGTTGAATGGGGGGTCATACTGGGGCTGTGATGGGGTATACTGGGTGAATGAGGGTCATACTGGGGCTGGGCTGGACTATACTGGGGGAATGGTGGTTATACTGGGGCCATGATGGAGTATACTGGAGGAATGGGGGTCATACTGGGACGGTGATGGGCTCTACTTGGGGAGCGGGGGTCACACTGGGCTTGGGCTGGGTGGACTGGAGTGCAGGAGGGAGCAGCACTGGGGAGAACTGGGACGTGCTGGGGCCCTGCCACTGGGGATCAGGCTGTGCTGGGGATGCGGCACTGAGGGACTGGGGTGCACTGGGGGGACTGGGATGTCCCAGGCACCGGCTCAACTGGGGTGGGGCACAGGGGGCAGCGGGTGCCTGGGCTATTGGGTGCCCGAGGGCTCTGCCACCCCCCGGGGTCAGGGTGCCCGGGGTGCTGGGTGCCTTGGGGTGTCCCTGAGGATCAGGGTGCCCTACGGTGTGCCCGGGGATTAGGGTGCCTTGGGGAGCCCCTAGGGACCAGGTGCCCTGGGGTCCCTTGGGGATCAGGGTGCCCTGGGGTGTCCCCAGGGATCAGGGTGCCCTGGGACGTCCCTGGGGACCAAGTGCCCTGGGGTGCCCCTGAGGACTGGGTGTCCTGGGGTGTCCCCGGGGATGGGGGTGTCCCCAAGGATCAGGGTGCCCTGGAGTGTCCATGAGGACTGGGTGCCCTGGGGTTTCTCAGGGATTAGGGTGCCCTGGGGTGTCCCTGGGGACCAGGTGTCCTGGGGTGCCCCTGAGGACTGGGTGCCCTGGGGTGTCCCTGGGGACCGGTGGCCGGGCCGCGGTGGCCCGGCGGGCGCTCACCGTTGTTGAGCTTGTGGCGGGTCTGCTGCCTGCTGCAGTCGGCCGGGACGCCGTGGATCTCCACCCGCACGAAGGGGTCCACGATGGAGCTCCCCTTCTCCCTGTTCAGCTTGGGCAGCTGCTGCGCCGTGATCACCTGGGGGCAGAGGGTGCTGGGGGGACGCGGGGTGGGGGGGCCCAGGAGAGGGGACGTGGGTGGCACATGGCTGGGTGGGGGGACAGGGCTGGTGCCCCCAGAAGGGACACAGGTGGCACCCGGCCAGGAGCAGGGATGGGGTGGGGAGGAGGGAGGTGGGTGGTGCCATCCAGGAGAAGGGACATGGGTGGCACATGGCTGGGTGCAGGGTCAGGGCTGATGTCCCCAGGAGAAGGGACATGGGTGGCACTTGGCCAGGCATGGGAATGTGGTCAGTGTCACCCAGGAGTAGGGACACGGATGGTACCCAAGCAGATGTGAGGACAGGTCAGTGTGCCCAGGAGAAGAGAGGTTGGTGGCACCCAGGTGGGTGTGGAGTTGGTGTCACCAAGGAGAAGGGACATGGGTGGCACCTGGCTGGACATGGGGTTGGTGTCACCCAGAAGGGACATGGGTGGCACCTGGTTGGGTGTGGGGTTGGCATCACCTGGGAAAAGGGATTCAGGTGGCACCTGGCCAGGCATGGGAATGTCACGGGTGTCACCCAGCAGGGAGGCGGGTGGCACCCACCCAGGCGTGGGACCGGGGGGGAGCGGGGTGCCCTCACCCTGATGTGCAGCGCCAGGCAGCGCGGCCCCTCTCCGGGGGGGCTGCGCAGGCAGGAGGGCTTCAGCACGTAGCCACAGCACCCATTGCCCAGGAACCGCCCGGCGTTCAGGTCCATCTCGTAGCCCGGCGTCTGGAAGTTGAGGGCCACTGTGGGGACAGGGGGAGGGGGTGTCAGGGTGGGGGGTGCCAGGTCCTGGGGTGTCCCCCAGGGGCCGTGGGGTCTCACCCAGCTGGCATCCGACGTTCCACATCTCCTGGGGGTTGTAGTTGGAGGAGTTCATCTTCAGCCCCAGCGGGTAGACGCGGCTGAGCTGCCGGGCGTTGTACCGGACCAGCGCCGGGCCTGGGGAAGGAATGGCTGAGCGGGGCCGCTGCACCCATGGGTGCCGGTGCAGGGCCCTGCCAGCGAGTGACAGTGTCCTGCCTGCACCCGTGTGCCTGGGGACACAGAGGGAGCCTGCCCGGCTGGGTGGACCCAAAGCCTGAAACGTGACCCGAACCCTGAAAGCGGACCCTGAGGTTCAGACCCCAACCCTTGTCCTTGACCCTGGACCTTGACCTTGGACCCCTGACCCTGACCTCAGACCCTGGATGCTGCCCCAGATCTTAATCCAAGCCCTGGACCCCAGACCCTGACCCTGGATCCTGACCTTGACCCCACACCTTGACTTTAGACCCCAGACTCTGACCCTGGACCTTGACCCTGAATCCCAGACCCTGATCCCAGATCCTGACCCTAGACCTCAGACTCCAAACCCCAGACCCTGGACCCCAGACCCCAGCCCTGATCCCAGATCCTGACCCTGGACGCCAGACCTTGACCCTGGATGCCAGACCTTGACCCTGGATGCCAGACCCCGGACACTGACTCAGATCTTAATCTCAGCCCTGGACCCCAAGCCCTGACTCCAGACCCTGACCTCAGATCCTGACCCTGGACCCTGGACCCAAACCCCAGACCTTGACTCCAGACCTCAGTCCCTGGACCCTGATCCAGATCTTAATCCCAGCCCCAGGCCCCAGACCTGACCCTGGGCCCAGATGCCACATCCCAGACCCTGACCCCAGAGCCTGATCCTGGACACTTGACCCTCACCCTGGCCTCTGGCCTCAGACCCTGACACCAGAGCCAAGCAGTCTGGCCAAGGCCAGCGCACCCCCAACCACCACCCATGGAGCCACCCCGGTGACCAAGCCCGTTGGTCTCAGCCCCATCCTGCACCCCAGTGAGGTCAGGAGCATGGAGCCACCCTGGCCCCGTCCCTGTCACTCTCACCCGCCTCCTTGATGAGCTTCCGAGCCTTCCTCTCACTGAAGGAGGACATCTCGCAGGGCCGGGGGTGGCGCAGGGCATGGGCCAGGCCGGGGAAGGGGACAGCCTGGCAGTACACTACCACAGCCGACAGCTCTGGGGCCACTTGTGATGCGTCCTTGGCCTGCGGGAGTCACCGTGGTGTCAGGGCCACACTGGCTCTGGTGGCCCCCACCTGCCTGAGGGTCTACAGACCCCCCTACCCTGCTAGTGCTGAGCACTGAGACCCCTAAGGCCATGGAGACCCCCAAAGTGATGGAGAACCTGAGGCAATGGAGACCCCAAAGCGATGGAGAAACTGAGGCAATGGAGCAACGGACCCTGAGATGATGGAGAACCCAAGCAGGTTGAGACCCTGAGGTCATGGAGAACCCAAGGTGATGGACAACCCAAGATGTTAGAGACCCCAAGGTGATGGAGACCCTGAAGTGATGGAGAACCCAAGATGATGGAGAACTTGAAGTGACAGAGACCTCAAGGTGATGGAGACCCTGAGGTGATGGAGAACTGAGGCAATGCAGAACACCCCCCCAAGGCAATGGAGACCCCGAGGGGTCACCCTAGAGGTGATGGAGACCCCAAAGTGATGGAGACCCAAGGTCATGGAGTTCGCGAGGTGATGGAGACCCCGAGGTGATAGAGACCCCAGAAATGGAGCACCCAGCCCAATGGGGGAGGAGGGCGGCACAGCCGAGGAGTCCCCAAGCTCAGTCCCCTCTGCGAGGCAGTGACAGCCACTCGCCGCCCCTGCGGTACCCAACCTGTCATCCCACCCAGCTCCATCACACAACCCACCTGCAGAGGTTTGATCTCCTGCAGCGACTGCAGCGACTGGAAGAGGAGAGAGCAGGGCTGCATCGGGGGATGCTGGCAGTGCTGACCTGCCCCAGGCCCCAGCACCGCTGGGACACGGTGGCCCCATGGCACTGCCGGCATGCCGTGGTCCTCCAGGACCACCAGGATACCATTGTCCCCCAACACCACCGGGATGCTGTGGTCCTCAAGGACCACCAGGACGCTATGGTCCACCAGCACCACCAGGATACCATGGTCCTCTGGCACCATAGCCCTGGGAGAGCCCCTCACCCGCCGGCTGCTTCTCTCCTGCAGCTTCTCATCCTCTTCCTCTTCCTCCTCCTCCTCTTCCTCCTCCTCGGGGTCCGGAAGGGAGGTGACACCCCGGGGCTCGTGCCATGGCTCTGGGAGCTTCTTGCCCTTCACCAGGACCTTCCCCTTCAACTGCTGCGGGAGGAAGGGCTGAGCTCAGGGCTCGGAGGGGACTTGGGGACACCATGGTGGGCGGGCAGGTGGCCTTACCTCCGGGGATGGGAGGTCATGGGGGTCCTGTCCCTCCAGCGGCTGCGTCAGCAGCATGTCCCCCAGGATGGCCTTCATGTGCCGGGCCATGGTGGCCTGCTGCTCCAGCCCACAGTGGTTCTCCAGGGACAGGATGACGGGGTAGGGCGATTGCTGGGGACGGGGACAGGCAGCACTCAGCACCTGGCACCCAGCACCCAGAACCCGTCCCAGGGCTGCCGGCACCTGGTTCACCTTGAAGGCGTAGTCACGGATGCTCTCAATGACATCGCGGAAGAGGATTTTGGAGGTGAGCGTGTGGCCATGGTAGACGATGGGTTCCCCGTCAGAGCCCTCCCAGCAGTCCAGCTCCACGCAACGGCATCCCGCCATCAGCGCCCTGACATCAGCGGATGAGTCCCTGCACTGCCCTGGCACCCTTGAACCATGGGACCATGCGGGCATGGAGCATCTGAGCAGGGGCACCCACCTGACATAGGCTTCGGTGCTGCTGGTGCCACCGATCTGGTTGCGGGTCAGGTAGGTGTTGTGGGAGGAGGAGATGAAGTAGTGGCACAGGGGCTGGCTCATGTCCTGGTGCACCTTGGTGTGCTCCTGGTTGAGGATGTCACCAGCAGCCGAGAGGAGGTACATCATGAAGCCATCCAGCATCATCAGGTCCTGCTGCCTGGCTGCAGGACACAGTGGCGGGGTGTCGCAGAGGACTGGCATGCTGCTGGCAGGGTGGCACCCTGGGGACTGTCCCCACCTGGATGTCCCCTGTCTCCCAGCAGTGTCATGTTCACCCCAGACCTGGCACTGTGGCACCCAGGGGATGTGGAAGTCCTCTTGGTGTCCCATCTCCACCCTGATGTCCCCCATCCTGCTAGTGCCACATCTACCCTAGGGGCACTACTGTGATACCCAAGAGACACGGAGGACCTTCATCCCCACCATGATGTCCCCTGTCCTCCTAGCGCCATGTTCACCCTGGACCTGCCATGATGGGACGCAAGTGACATAGAGGTCCCCTGGCAGTGTCATATGCATGCTAGGGCTGGCACTGCATCACCCAGGAGACATGGAGGTCCACCTACTGTCCATCCCCACCTTCACATCCCCTGTCCCCACAGTGCCACATCCACCAGGGACCAGCAAGGCCACATGTTGGACTGTTGACACCCGGTGCCACCCTGGGGAAGGGACACAAGGCATGGAGGACCCCATACCAGCTTGGGGGAGTGACACCACTAAGCAGAGCCCCATCCCCACACCATCCATGACGTCCCTTGGCTCCAGCAGTGCCCATCCCATCATCCCACCATCCCACCATCCCACCACCACCCAAGCTGGCTGTCCTCAGCCCTACCCTTCTCGTTGAGCTCGTAGGCGCGGATGACGGCGCGGGCCTGGCGCAAGCTCGCGTCCTCGCCCTGATCCCGTAGGAAATCCCGCAGCTCCTCGGCCGACAGGACACGGTCCTCGCCCGAGTAACGCCCAAAAAGCTCCTCCAGCTCCGGCCGCCGCAGCAGCCGTCGGCAGAACTCCTCCACCTCCCGGCCCTCCAGCCGCTCGTTGCCCGAGTGGTCGCACTCCTGAAGGGACCGCAGCCCAACCTTGGGACCGTCCCCTGCCCATGGGGAGGGGGTACGGCGACCCCCCTGCCTCATCCTGCCTGTCCCTTGGGGTTGGCAGCGTGTGTGATGAGTTTGGGCGGGCTCAGCTACTGGTATGAGGGGTCAGGGATGGATTGTGCCTAGGGGAGTGCAGGGGCATGTCCCCTCTCTCCCCCCACCCATAGCCCTCTGACCCTCCAGTCTGGGAGCAGAGCACCATGCCTCAGTTTCCCCAAGTGGAAAGGGACTTTGGGAGATGCCCATGGGGGGAAAATGTCACACCTTGGGGACCCACAGAGCAGTGAGGGGACAGCTCACTCCACCCCATCATGAGCAGGAGTTCATGGACCCAACCATTGGTGATGGTGCGTGGCTTTGGGTGTGACGAGTTTGACAGTTCTGTGCACTTGGGAAGGCAGGAAAGGGGCCAGCATCCCCTCCCAGTGACAACGGCAGGGGACAGCAGGTCACAGAGCATAGGACGGGTACCTTGAAGAGCTTGTAAGCGTAGACATCATCCATGTCAATGTTGATCATCCTCAGCATGCTCTTCACCTCCCGGAAGGACATCTTGTTGTCCTTGTTCCTGTCTGCTCGCTGCAGGACCCCGTGGATCCAGCTATGTGGGGGTAAGGAAACCAGCCGGTGTCACCCCCATGCCCCACAGCCGTCCCCAACCTGTCCCCAAGCCCCCATAGCTCTGACAAAGGATATTGGTCAAGCTTCTCTGGTTGACTCATGGCTTGCAGCCGCCCCATCAGCTTGGTGAGTCCTTGCACCCAGTGGCGGGCATCTTCCTCGCCCCGGGCGGCCAGGTCGAGGTTCTTGCGCTTGCCCTTGAAGACGAGGGTGAAGCAGTGCCGCTCGGGGAAGGCGGCACCGTACTTGCGTAGACCCTCTGACTGGTGTCCCTCGCGCACCCCCTCGATGTGCATCACCGAGACTGCAGGGACACGTGCGGTGATGGGGCCACCCCGGGGATGGAGGTGGTCCCTCGGCATTTCCCCCACCCATGAGCATCCTGCAAGGCATCCTGGCTGCTGGTGGACTCCCTATGTGTCCCCAGGGGCACCCCAGGGGACCAGGGCTCAGCTCCTGTTGATGCCGCAGCTGGGCTTAACCCACTAATCCCAGGCGAGACAGGAGCCGTGGCCACTGTCCCCTGCGGGGATGGGGACGGGGACGCCGGTGGGGGATGGAGCTGTCTTGCAGTGGTGCCAGCTCCGGGCACCCATCCCAGATGAGAGGGTGGAAAGAGATGGGTGACACCAGGGAGTGGGGACAGAGTCTGGCCGGGATGGAGATGGGACCTCGTGCTGGTCCCAAGGGGGACGGGGAAGGGTGTGGGCTCTGGGGGCTCAGCCTGGGGTGCACTGGGAGGCACTGGGTGCACTGGGATGTAATGGGATGCACTGGGTGCACTGGGAAGCACTAGGAGGCACTGGGGTGCAGTGGGTTGGGGTCCAGGTCCTGGGTGGGGGTCCACATCTCGGGTCAGGTGGGTCCCAGGCTGGGGGTGCAGGTCCTGGATTGGGGTCTGGGTTCTGGGTGAGGGTCTGGGACCTGAGTGGGGTCCGGGTCCCAGGTCAGGCTCTGGGTGGGGGTCTGGGTCCTGGATTGGGATCTGGGTCCCAGGTGGGGGTTTGGGTCCTGGGTGGGAGTCTGGGACCCAGTGGGGTCTGGGTGGGGGTCCAGGTCCTGGGTGGAGACCTGGGTCCTGGGTTGGGATTTGGGTCCTGGATTGGGGTCTGGGTCCCAGATGCGGGTCCAGGTGAGGATCTGGGTCCCAGGCTGGGTCCTGGGTCCTGGGTGGGGGTCCAGGTCCTCGGCGGGGTCTGGGTCCCGGGTTGGGATATGGTTCCTGGGTGGGGTCTAGGTCATGGGTGGGGGTCTGGGTCCCGGCTCATGCCCAGGTCCCCACGGGCAGGTTTGGGGCACTGTCCAGGTCCCAACCCCTCCCTGCAGCTCGAGGCTGTGCAGGACGTGGTCCAGGGTCCCCGAGCCCCCAGGGGAGGGTCCCCAGCGCCAGCACTCACAGCTCTGCTGGGAGCGAGCGTGCCCGAAGCCCCCCTCGAAGCAGACGGTCGCCCCATCCTCCTGCAGGCGGAAGAGCCGCTCCCTGGGCACCCCCCGGGACTTGATCTTCCGGAGCAGGGAGCCCCGCAGCATCCGCTGGATGTCCTCGTCCTCCGTCAGGCCTGCGGGGGACCAGGCCGTGGGCACCCTGTGCAGCTACTGGGGGGGCACTGGGTGGTACTGAAGGCTCTGAGGGTCTACTGGGGGTACTGGGTGGGAGTGAGGGGGGCTCGGTGCACATCTGTATGCACACCTGCATATGTACACCCCTGCACATCTGATGGGATGGGGT